TATATATATTCTTGATCAGGGTCACTAGCCGAGTCGATATAGCCATTTTTAAAATCGGACCATTCGTTAAAAAGTTATGCGTGATCAAAGTTTCTATCTCCATCTCCCTCGCACTTCCTTTACCTGAGTAACGGGTATCTGATAGTCGGGGCACCCGACTATAGCGTTCTCTCTTGTAAGCTATTTGGTCGTCGACGCACATGTGTTGTGTGCTACAATATCCATAACTTTGTAACAGCATCAACCACAGATCAGGCAATAGCCGATTTATTTGCCCAATTTTTTCAAACGACTTACTCTACTTTAGATTATTCATCACAGCCTTATTCTTACACCATGTCCAAGTCAAGCCTCATATTCTGTCCCACTTTAACAGAAAGCTCTCTTCTTTCGGATCTTCTTCGTATTAAGCCTGTTTATTCGCCAGGGCCCGATGGTATTCATGGGTGCGTACTTAGGTATTGCGCTAAGGCCCTGTGCAAACCTCTTCACAAGTTATTTACCTTATCTCTAGAAACCTCCCAATTCCCAAATATTTGGAAGGAATCATTTGTTATTCCTTTTTTCAAAAATGGTAACAAGTTAGAAGCCAGTAACTACAGAGGTATTTCTAGTTTTCCAGCTATTCCTAAGCTTTTTGAAAAAATTATTACACCTCATTTGCAGCACCTTTGCAGATCAATCATTTCTCCGTGTCAACACGGATTTATTAAACGTAGATCCACAATCACAAACCTTCTAGAGCTCACTACATTTGTGATAAAAGGCTTCAATAGTAGTTTTCAAACAGACGTCATTTACACTGACTTTAGTAAAGCATTTGACTCTATACATCACTTACTTCTTATTCAAAAACTTGACCTTTTAGGTTTTCCAGTTGATCTGCTTAAATTGATGTCAAGTTATCTGAATGGCAGGTCACAAAGGGTCCTTTTTAAAAATTCAATTTCTGAAATTCTCCGTGTTACCTCCGGTATCCCTCTTGCAATCCGATCTAGATAATTTTCAAAACTGGTGCCGAGATAATTTACTAAATTTAAACGGCTCCAAGTGCAAGCTGATGACTTTTTATCGGGCCAATCAGATATACGCGACTTACAAGTTAAGTGGCAGCTCTTTGGATAGAATCTCTTGGAAACGATCTTGGCTTTCTCTTGGACCCTAAACTAAAATTTTCTAATCACATTTCGTCCATGGTTAATAAAGCCAGAGGAGTGCTTGGATTTATTAAAAGGTGGTCAAAAGAATTCGATGATCCTTATTTGACTAAAACTTTATTTATTTCGCTAGTCCGTCCGATTCTGGAGTATGGGTCTCCCGTCTGGAGTCCACAATACGGAATACATATTGGTCGTATTGAATCTGTACAAAAAACTTCATTCTTTTTGCTTTACGGCGCCCAAACTGGGATGCAAATCTTATCTTACCTTCTTATTCTAGTAGACTTCTTTTGATTAATTTAACATCCCTAGCCAACCATAGAACGATGATTGGTACTATCTTTATTTATAATCTTATACATGGTGATATTGACTGCCCCGACTTGTTAAGCCGGCTAAACTTTTCTGTGCCAAGTAGATTAACTAGAAATTATATTCCCCTAACTTTAAATCATTGTAGATCTAACTATGCCTTGCATGAGCCTTTTAGAGTATTATGTTCTGACTATAATAGACTTTTTCCTGTAATATCAAATCTTGACTCTCTGCCGCTCCTAAAACGATTAATACTTGCTTCATTGGCACAAGATTGATCTAACTATTACTTTTTTCCCCGGACCTTTACCTTTATTTTCCTATCTCGCGTCTATCTTATCGCGAATCGTGCCGTACGATACACGGCTGCGCCCCTCGGTCGGTTGGGCGGGTTAGCGGGCCGTGGGACTCCGCGCGAAAAAAAAAAACAGTTATATCAAGTATTTGAAACACCTAATGCATTGCAGGCCCAAAATTTAAAAAATCGATGCCAAAAAAATCCTAGCAGATCGGCAAAAATGGCTAAGAAGATCCTATGATAAAACATTTCCATGAGTGAATTATATTCAAAAGACTTTTTCTCTAAAAAACAAGAAAGGAAAGCTAACTTCGGGAAGTTGAGAATACTCTGTAAATTATATTCTCCAAACTTATTCATGCATTCTTAATACTCATAAAAAATCCCAACTTCCTAACTTTAAAAACACCAAAGTTATGGAATTTCCAATCGTTCAGTTATATAACAGCTATAGGATATAGTCGGCCGATCCTTATGAAGTTTGGCAGGTGGGATTGATTGGCCAAAAATAAAACCCATAGAAAATCCCAACTTCCTAACCTAAGAAATAACAAAGTTATTGCATATCCAATCGTTCAGTTATATGACAGCTATAGGATATAGTCGGCCGATCCTTATGAAATTTGGTAGGTCGGATTGACTAACCAAATATAAAACTCATAGAAAATCCCAGCTTCCTAACTTTACAAATATCAAAGTTATGGCATTTCCGATCAATCAGTTATATGGCAGGATAGGATATAGTCGGCCGATCCCGGCCGTTTCGACTTATATACTGAATGCAAAAGAAAGAAGGGTGTGTGCAAAGTTTCAATTCGATATCTTTAAAACTGAGAGACTAGTTTGCGTAGAAACAGACAGACGGGCAGACGGACATGGCTATATCAACTCAGGAGGTGATCCTGATCAAGAATATATATACTTTATAGGGTCGATATCTTTAAAACTGAGAGACTAGTTTGCGTAGAAACAGACAGACGGACATGGCTATATCAACTCAGGAGGTGATCCTAATGAAGAATATATATACTTTATAGAGTCGGAGATGTCTCCTTCACTGCGTTGCACACTTTTGACCAAAACTATAATACCCTCTGCAAGGGTATAAATATAACCATCGTATTGGCCTATATTGTCCACCGCGTGCCTGCATAGCAAGTTAGTGTCGAGAGATTGTAAAGGCCATTTTTTTGTTAAATCAAAAAAAAATATTTTGATTTGAAATTTTTTTTTTATTATACCCTACCAAATTTCATAAGGATCGACCGACTATATCCTATAGCTGTCATATAACTGAACGATTGGAAATGACATAACTTTGGTGTTTTTAAAATTAGGAAGTTGGGATTTTTTATGAGTATTAAGGGGTTATCCGGGTCTTGGAGCACGAAAAAAAAGCCTATTTTCGTGAATTTTTTTTAAAGATCTTACGACAATTTCACAAATTTAATTTATTGTACATTAATGTTTATGGTTTGACCAACATTGTGTAAAAATTTGAACCAAAAATTTTTAAAATTGAACCGTTGAGGCAGGCTTGAACTTGACCTCATAAAAAATTGTGTCCTTGCGGTAGGCAAAACATCTCCGCCAATTTTTATCTGAAATCAAAAAACCAAAATTATTCTGATAGTGAATGTGTCTCGCTTGTCCTCTACGAGCCATTTTTTTTTAAGGTAAAAATTGAATTTTTTGTAGCGCTTTTCATAAAAAGTGTCATTTTTTACGTAAATTTTGGCCATATTTTGGCTTATAAAATGAGTTGTAATCAAAAATTAAAAAAATCCCTCCGTTAAGGACAAGAGAATTATATTTAAAAGAAGTGTGCAAAAGCAGAAGTTGATCGGTGCAATAGTTTTTGAGAAATCGTGACTACCGACTTCAAAAAAGTGGTTTTGAGAAAAACGCGTTTAAAGTGCCGCATCTGCCCGACGCCAGAGCCCGAATGGCTTGTTGTGACGTTCGACGCGCTGGGTTTTAAATTTCTCCCATTCCTACAGTTTTGCTTCGATCGACTTGAAATTTGTAGACAACATTCCTGAAACTTTGTACTATTATATAAAAAAGTTTGAAAAAAATGAATTTTTTGAAGTGTCAAGACCCGGATAACCCCTTAAGAATGCATCATATGAATAATTTTGGAGAATATAATTTACAGAATATTCTGCAAGGGTATATCAACCTCGGCTCCGCCCGAAGTTAGCTTTCCTTTCTTGTTCCACTTAACTTTCATCACACTTGCACTCACTGGGGAGTGAACCCGATTATGATAGGACTAGCTAGTTTCGTCTGCACGTCACCTCAAACTCATCAGCTATGTATCTATGGGGATAAAAGCAGAGCGATCAGAGAAGCTTATTTGGAATTGTGAGTTGCCAAACTTCATTGGTTTTAACATAGGTAAGGTTCTGTCGTTATATAATATTATATTAAAATTTCCGATACATTTTTCGATTATTCTATTGATATTTACATGATAATGTAGTCCGAATTTTATAAATTTAGATTCGTGGGTATATAATTGTCAAAAATTGGTTTTCAGATATTAATAACAATAAAGTTGTTCTTTTTTTGGTTTACTTTACAATTTTAACACTTTTGCAACTCAATTGAATATTCTGATTTGTAACTTAGGGAGTAACCAAAATATTTACCGCTTTTTTTTACTGTAAATCGAAAGCAGTTGTATATCATATAATCATTCAACCAATGATCTTGGCGTTTTGCCTACCTAAAAGAAGACAAAATTCTCCGGCGCTGTAACCTACAAAATCGCAATATTTTGATGAACGATTTTTTACAGACGGTCAAAGTGGAAAAGTCGTACGAAAAAACAATACTTTGTTTCTATAACGAATTTGTTCATGTTTTTTAGGTTGGGGCGCCTCTACCGAATGTTATCACTAGAACTCGCACTGTTTTCTGCGTGTAGACATCGAATTGCGACCTGATGTCAATTTTTAATAAACCTTTTGCTGGAGCCGCCTTTTTGGGCGCTATTTTTGACACCCAACACTCAAAAATTTTGGTTTTATAGATAAAACCTGAATAAACATTTTGCTGAATAGCGCACATGTATAAGTCAGGTTACTTCTTCAAAAAAAATATCAAATATAATGTTCTTTTTCCACAATCATATAAGAGAGGGGGTCCTTAAATAGACTATCTATAAATTTAATCTTTAAGGTAAGTCGGGCGTTTAACAATAGTCTTAGTCACAAACTTACCGCATTTACATAATTAATTAGGCTGAGGCCTCCGTTCCACGGAATTTCCTCATCGCAAGTCAAGTTCGGTAGATTCAAAGTGTTTGATTGATCTAATGTCTGTAAGCCAATCGCGAAAACGTAGACAGAATCGAACATTAGGGCTGGCTCTGACTAAAAATTTGAAAAATATTGTAGTTGCCATATTACGTTAATAAAACTTACCTCAATAGAAACAGATTTTCTTAAATGACGATTAACATAAGGATTTTGAAACATATGGTGACTATAGGATCCAATATCTTTCAAAATCTGCTTTACGCTAACATCTCCTATGTCGACCAATCGAAACGATGTTATGTTTACAAAATTATATTTAAAATCTTCCAGATCATACGTTTCCAAGTCAAAACTGGTAAACAAATAATGGTATTTGTATTCATTCATTTGCTGCTGTAATATCTTTAGAAAAGCAAATATTTATGTAAAATCTAAATGGCATTTACTAAGATTATCTAATAAAGTTTGTATATTTAGAACATACATTATACACACTTATGAGTGGTGACTTCATAGCTGCAGTTACAAAATTTATCTATACTCAAATTTATGACTCTTTCCGTCTTATAGCATGCCAATGTTCACCGTATTCATCACTTTTTTGGATAAAAATTCATCGATGAGTTATGACCAGTGATACATTTTGACATAATGCCGTATTTGTACCTTTTAAACGCTTTGTGTTTGTTGGCCTTGCCTTCTCTGGCAGAACGGCTTCTGCGTGCGTGTTTTTCGTCGCTTATCACCTATTTTTCATCTAATCTGTGTCAGGCTGGTCGATAATGAAGACGCTCTTACCGAGTCCCATAAATGATTTTGTAAATGTTGGTCAATGCGAGTGACGCCGCTCAAACGACGGTCACTCGGAGTTGCCTTTAACCCGATATACCGCACCGAAACAAGAAATAGCCAGATCTTGTAGCGTAAAATGGTATTGAACAGACGGATTTTATTCTGTAGGAATATTACAAGTTTATGATTTATCCCTACATATATAAGTTAACATTACCGCAGTCTCGCCTCCCAGCTTCTCTGACCTCGTTGATTGGAATAACTTGGAAGCGGGAAGCTTGGCTTTTTCTAACTTCGAGCTGTGTGACCGCATTCACTAAACATCGAGAATCCTCAACCGGTTACATTGAACTAAATATAATCTCTAATTTGTGGCGCTACATTTGAATTGCCCGACAATCGATAATTGGGTTAATCCGTTCCGCGACATCCCCACCCCCGTGAAGCAGCTGCATTCACCACGTCCAAAACAGCTATCTAGTTCGATCGTCGCTGGTAATTCGCACCGCTGCTCGTCGTGGAACTCCGTCGGCTCCTGGGTACACTTCCTCCACGACGCCTTTCCTCCATTCCCTGCGAGGGACGGCCGGATCACATATGTACACTAGATCCCCACGACGCATTGGCTCGACGCGCTCACACCACTTCTGTCTGCGAATGAGCGTTGGTAGATACTCGTGTACCCAACGCTTCCAGAATCGGTCTCTCATCATCCGCGCTATACGCCACTGCTTCCTTGTGGCGCACTTCTCTGGCGGGTGTCCGCGGTTTGAAGGGAGGTCCGGAACGTTTGCTACTCCTCTCAGCAGGTCGTTCGGCGTCAATGGAGCCTCCTGGTCCACCGTGACTGGCAGATGGGTAACCGGACGAGAGTTGACAATATTCTCCGCCTCGATAAGGAAGCTTTCCAGCACGTGTTCCTTAGGGGCCACCTCCTTCACGGTATGCGCCAACACCTTCTTAACGCATTGGACCATCCGTTCCCATATGCCTCCCGCGGACGGGTGAGCCGGGCAGTTGAAGATCCATTCAATTCCTTTGGATGACAGTTCACCCTGGATCCTCTCTGGCTCGAAAACTTCATCGAACCTTCTGGCTTCACGGTTGGCTCCGATGAAATTCTTCCCGTTGTCGCTTCTCAATCTAATCACTGGTCCTCGGCGGCACATAAAGTTCCTCAAAGCGATTATGCAGGAATCTGTCGACAGATCGTGGCCCATTTCCAAATGGATAGCCCTGGTGGTTAGACATGTAAATAGTGCCTCCCACCTTTTCTCTGTCCGACGTCCAATCGATACTTGCAGTGGACCAAAATAGTCCAGGCCGGTGTATTTAAATGGCCACCCGTTGGCCTCGAGCCGGTCCTTTGGCAAGGGACTTATCAGTGGCGGAGCTGGTTGCGCTCTCCGAAGTTTACATAATTGACATCTGGTTATAACCTTCCGTAAAAGTCTCCTTAAATTTGTTATCCAGAACTTCGTCCGGATTTCGCTAATGGTCGCATCTAGGTTTTGGTGCTTCATCTTCCTGTGGTAGTGATCGGTGATCATCTCCGACAGTGCGTGCTGGTGCGACAGTATGATGGGGCGCCGTGTGTTAACTGGAACACAACCGGCGGCATCGATTCTTCCACACGCACGTATGATTCCATCGTCGTCAAAGTATGGCGAAAGTCCTCGTAACTGACTGTCTTTCGCTACGGCTTTCCCTTGAGTTTCATCCGCGAACGCCTCTGATTGCGCCCGCCGGATTAATAAGCGCTCTGCCTCAGCACACTCAGCAGCAGAAAGACCGTACTCCTCATTTACGTCACGCAGCCCACGGCACCGTCGAATGAACCTCAGGACCCATGCTGTCGATCTGACCAATCGATCGTAGCTCGAAACCCTCTGCAAAGAAATAGAGCTATTTGCCAAAACCAGTGCGAACTCACACGGCATCTCTTCCTCCTCCGTTGTGTGCAGGCTGCTACTATCACCCAGAGAACTCTTGGGCCAGAGCTCCTCAGGCTCCCGCAGGAACGATGGTCCGCTGAGCCACCGCGATTCTTGGCTAAGGTTCACGTGGCGTTGCGGTCTCGTAGCGTCATCAGCCACATTTTCGGCAGATGGTATCCATCTCCATTGGGACACCTCAGAGGACTCGAAGATCTCCGCCACCCGGTTTCCCACAAACTGTTTGTACCGCCGGTGGGTGCTGCTAATCCAGTGCAGCACAGTCTTCGAATCAGTCCAAAGGACGCAGCCGCTGATCGCAATGCCGTGCACCTGTTTTACGGTGTCCATCAGCCTGGTTCCCAATACAGCTGCTTGGAGTTCCAGTCGCGGGATCGACATCGTCCTCATCGGGGCACATTTGGTTTTCGAACACACAAAATGTGCCCGCACGTCGCCGTCGTCATAAGTGGTTCTCCAATAGGCCACCGCGGCAAACGCCGATTGGCTCGAATCCACGAAAATGTGCAGCTGTAGCTCACGCACTCGTCCTACGCCGAAATAGTGGCGCGGACACCGGAACTCTCTCACGTAGTTCATCTCCAGCCGCCAGCTCTCGAATGCTGTGGCTAGCTCATCAGGCAGGGGCTCGTCCCATTCCACTGACCTCCTCCAGGTTTCCCTCATCAACAATTTGGCGGTCACCATGTAGCAGCTCAAGAATCCGAGCGGGTCAAATGTTGACATAACGAGGCTGAGGAATTCTCTTTTGGTGGGGACACGTTGCCCAGTCATCACGCTACTGGGTACCCTGTGGTACTTTATACTGAATTTAAAGTCGTCAGTAGCCGGCTGCCAGTACATGCCCAAAATCTTCTCCTCAGCTTCGGTCCACTCGACGTTCTCGCTGGATCCTAGTGGGTTCAACGCTCTGACCACACCTTCCGAACTAGAAGAAACCCGGCACAAATCGAAACCAGCACTAGCATGAATTTCCTTGATCCTGGTTGATACGGAAATAGCTTCGACATCGTTTGAGAAGCTATCTACGTAGTCGTCTACATAATGGTACTCGTTGATGGCCAGGACCGCGCGGGGGTCCTTGAAGCATTAACTGTTTTCACATGATGCGCTGAGCACGGCGAACAAGCTGCTCCAAACGTCATCACCATCATTTCATACAGGTCTGGATCCCGCTGGTCATCTCCATTTCTCCACAGGAATCTCTGGGTGCATCTGTCTTGAGGCTGTATCAAAACCTGATAAAACATCTCCTTAAGAGAGCACGGCTGGCAGAGACTTGTACTGCTGTTGGCCTTTGAGCAGCGCTAAGTTGAGGGATATGTTGCCGACCTTTGCTGCGGCGTCGAAGACTAGTCGGATCTTACCAGGTTTATTTGGATTCTCGACCCCGAAATGCGGCAGATACCAGACCCTGTCGTTGTTGGCTGGAGTGACTTCCTGCGGCTCTAGTCGTCGTACATACCCTTTTTTGACATAGTCCTCCATAATCCTATTGTAGGCCTGCGCGAACTCCACGTCGCGCTTCATTTTTCGTTCGATGTTGACGAGTCTCTTGAGAGCCATGTCATAACTGTTTGGCAGTCTCACCTCGTCATCCTTCCATAGCAGCCCGGTTTGATATAGTTGGCCCACTCGCTTAGTCGTCCCGTTAAGTATTCCCAAAGCCCATGCGTCGCCACTAGCTGCGACTGGTGGCGCCGACTTTACTCCAGTTTGCAGTGCCCGGTTGCGGTTGCTCATTTGATCCCTCCGAGGACCACCTTATGCCTGTGGTGACCGTGAGTGCTCCTCGGGAAGTAGGTAGTGATGCCTCCTCTGGCATCCATATACATTGCAGCTAACATCTTTTTTGCAGAACCTTGCCATATGTCCACTTTCCAGACACAAAGAACATATCCGATGCTTCTTCGCGATATCGATTCGCACAGTTGGAGACGCATGGTTGAAGTCCTTGCAATCCTTGATAAAGTGTTGCCCTTCGCACACTGGGCAGCTCCTAACTTGGTTGTCATACCGGTACAGGTTCCTTTGGCCTGCGCTGGCGTGCAGCACCCTTCGCTTGGGTTCCTTGCTTTCGAAGTCCGATATAGTACACACCAGCCTGGCGAGTTCCTCTAGCCATCCGCTGAGGTGTACGACCGTGGGGAAACATCCTATTCCAGTGGCATGCCTGGCCCAGTCCAACCTTTTGCTCAGCGGTAGCTTGGCGATCAGCTCCTCCATCAGGATGGGGTTTCCTAGGTGCTGTTCTCCGTTCGGGGTTGCCTGTAGAAACGCTGCGAGATTGCTGACCCGTGTGGAAAAGTGCACGATCTTGCTGATGTTGTGCTCCTGGATCGTCTGCACATTTCGCACGTTTTCCAGCTGGCTGCGTATTAGCTGCTCCGGACGACCATATCGGGAGCGTAGCTGCTCCATTACAGCCTGAACATTACTCGGGTGTATAAGCAACGACTTGACAGATGCTCGCGCTTCACCCTTCAGGGCCTTGACTAGTCTCTGGTTGTTTTCTAAAGCTGTACAATGGTACGCCGCTGTTGTCTCCGTGAATGCGCATTGGAATATTGGCCAATCCTCAGGCTGACCATCAAACTCGGGGAGATCAGGCAGTCTGCGCGGCGTCCATCCATTTAGGCTCGGCGATGCTATTCCATAGGACCCAGCCGACTGTGTGGGTACCATGGTTATGTGTTGAGGCTCCCGAAATGCTTGCACGTTACTGTGCGCTGGCTGCAGTTCGGCCGTTACACATCTTGGCGTGGAATAGCTTGCGGCAACTGTCCATGTAAAGATGGAGTCACAAGTTTTTCACTTAAATTCTGTCCACTCAAACATGGCGTCGCATTCGCCGTCTCGCTCACTCTATTACCGCTCGACCCGATTCCAACGGGATTCCTGGCGGCTGCATCTTGCCCTTCACTTGCCCTTGCCCTTTGTAGCTCCTCTTCCAAGCTTGCGATCCTTTCCATTAGGGCCGTAACTTGTGCGGATGTGGGAACCGTGCCCTGGCGTGATCCTCCAGCTGGATGTAGATCTGCACTCGGTTTCTTCCCCTTTTGCCCGCTGTCCTTAGGAGCTTGTGCCCGCTGCACCTTACCGCCAGCCGCGGCATCCGTTATGGCTCTCGGAGTGCCGGCTGGTTGATTTCCAGTGGTTGCAGCTGTGGAAGTCTGTGGCAGTCCAAGCCGAGGACTTCGCCGGGGTGAATGTGAAGTTGGCATAGCACGATGAAGATGTGAGCACGTAGTGCGAATGAAGAGTGCGAATAAAAGAAATGACGCCGCTCAAACGACGGTCACTGGGAGTTGCCTTTAACCCGATATACCGCACCGAAACAAGAAATAGCCAGATCTTGTAGCGTAAAATGGTATTGAACAGACGGATTTTATTCTGTAGGAATATTACAAGTTTATGATTTATCCCTACATATATAAGTTAACATTACCGCAGTCTCGCCTCCCAGCTTCTCTGACCTCGTTGATTGGAATAACTTGGAAGCGGGAAGCTTGGCTTTTCCTAACTTCGAGCTGTGTGACCGCATTCACTAAACAGCGAGAATCCTGAACCGGTTACATTGAACTAAATATAATCTCTAATTTGTGGCGCTACATTTGAATTGCCCGACAATCGATAATTGGGTTAATCCGTTCCGCGACAGCGAGGATTCTTAGTCCTCCAACCTCTCTGTAACTAAGAAGAATTTACAAAGGTCATCTCGAGGTCGTGGTCCAAGGGTGACCTCTGACAGGCCAGAACGCAAATATTTGATTCTGAACATGTGGTGTTTTCAAATGAAAGTCCCTACTGATGCGCATGACTCTCAAGAATATTTGAAGGACACATTAGAGAATGATGCTCTTTCATTATTTGGATTCGATAAATCTAATAATGGTGTACGTGATGCAAGTACACCTGCTCCCACCTCTTGCTTTCTTATGGCACCTGACTTCATTAGTAAAAATATTGCTGATCAGTTGCGATGTGAGAAATTGTAACAATATCTCGACTGATTCTAAGTTTGTCCCGATCGTCAAGCGGTTTAGTGATCGCAAGATTACTTTTAAAAAATTTGGATCAGAGGACCTGGACTCTCCTGACCAAAAATATTCTATCGCTTCACGGTTTTTTCTGATGACTCTATGGACACTCTGGATTTCTATGAAAAATTCTGATGTTTTCCCTCAAATAAATCGAAGCCTGGACCGCGCACTTCTGCCTTTTTGATAAAGGGTGTTACTGATATCAAAAAACGGGTTATCATAGTTGGTGATTAGAAGCTCACAATAAATTTTTGGATTGCAGTCGTTTTCGAGAGGTGCTGTCCTTCCAGTTCATGCATGTCTTCTAGTCTGCATGTTTTAGTTACAAAAGGGCCTATGCATTTTCCTTCTGATCATATCTTTATATTATCCGGTGCAGTGTACGCATGCGAATGTTGTTATGATCCCAAAGAAAGGTATCTTCCTCATCCGTGCTGACTTTTTTCGACCCATAAGTCTATAGCCGACCTTCTCCACGATTTTCGAGCGAAGTCTTTTGAAACGGCTGATTATTGATCTATTCTTTAAAACTTTTTAATCCTTCAACATTCTTTAATCTGCTCCGATAATTTCTTGCGGGCAGAACCTTAGAAGTGGATGTTTGTGCTGTAACGACCTTATTCTTTTGTTTCTCGCTCTCTACGTAAACGTGCGGCTAGCTCAGAGAGGTTGTGAGTTCGTTCCACCAAATTTATTTTGGGTGATTGCCCGTGACCAAAGGATACGCAAGAAAAACTTGGGATTGCGCTGACTTATTATTTGTCTTACTATAGTTTTATTGCTGTGTCGCTCCTGACGGGAGCCTTTTTAAAACTCCTCACATTTCAACCTTCCTTCGGAATAGTGATTAAATTGGTTATTTTCCCCGCCCTTGATGTTTAGACTATTCGGATTCCCCGCCTGACTTGTGTTCCAGATGTTCCCCAGACGGGGGGAAATGACGTTTCTCATGCAGTTCCTTGAAAGTCTTTGTTGCATCCACAAGCGTTTTTGCGGCGACATGAAACTAGGGTCTGGGCAGTGTGAAAATTGGTAACTTGTCAAGTAAAGGTGTTCATAGCTACCCTAAGCTACCCTAAGCTCTTGCAAGCCAATTTTCTGGGTTGAGGAAAAGTGTTCGCCAGCTGATTACCTCTCGCTGACGAACAGATTTCGTCGATCTGAATACTAGGCATAATTTTTGAAAATTTTCTATGCCCCTCACAGAGCGTGTGTCAAGTCAAGAGATATTTTAAAAAATTGCTAAGAGTCATTAGGGGTTAATGGCTGAAATATGTTCAGCAATCGAAATTTAAAATCATTTCTTGTGCTTATGGCTCTTACTAAAGAATGCTCTAAGAAAATTATGCAAAGCGCGTAAGAACCTACCTAGTGTTCTTTAAAAACCTTCAAAATAGGGAGAATACTTACATTTTTTAATAAAATTGATATACCGTCCGAGTTTGTATCAATAATAATATTGTGAATTTCCTTGCTTTTAAATTCGTTCAATACAGACAGATAAGACCCTTGAGAAACTTGTCGCATGTGTACTTCACCCTGAAGAGAGCGGGATAGCTGATGTAGGTTAATAATTCCTGTCAAATAAATAAATTTAGTTAATTGAGTTAATATCATAATTTTATCAAATATCCTACTACTGGGGGAATTTAACTTCTTAAGCCCCGATCGCCCTTCTACACGAGTGATACACCAAACAAAATTTATCGTGTATATAGCACCTTTTAAAAAAATTAATTTCTTTAAGCCTAGTACTCAGATCGACGAAATCTGTTCGTGAGCTTGGAGAAAAGCAAACAGCTGACGAAAACTTTTTGTCAGCCCATTTTTATTACCCCGGTACTCAGAACAACGAAAAAATAAAGGAAAATTACATAGCATTGCCAGTCTGTAAACTTGCTCTTTTTTGGGTCTAATCTCATCTTTTTTGGCTCTGTTGTCAGAGCAGACTCTAGACTCTAGACTCTAGAAAAGAGCTAAAAGAATACATTAAAAAAAAAGGTTTTTGGAAAGATTGTTATCTAATTTTTTTTTAAATAAAAAGTGAAGTTATTGATTAAAACTTGAGATCCCATGTTGGTTATATTTAGATTTCTTCTTTTTTTATAAATGTGGAAATTGTATTCTTAAGTTTAGCACACTGCTACCACTAACCATACAACATATAGACTGGTCATTTCATACAACGAATTTGGTCACAAAATTTTTCAATCGGGGGGCCCCAATGCTGGAATCGGCAGGCCCCGACACTTCGTGTGCCTTCGGGTTTTTTCGCTCTCGTTCTAATTCTTATTTTGACGCTCGCGCTCGAGTTCGGTCGTTCAGTCGCAGAGACGCGCATTTTGAAGAAGGTTGGCCTGCGCTTGAATTGGGCTTTGTATGTATGCGTGTTCATGCATTCTCATACAGGGGTGCATGTGTGCGATCATTTCATTTCGATGCAGCAAGAATATTTTGTCGTTTGCTACTTTTCAGACTTGGTACCCTAACAATATGGGCGTATTCACTATTGGGTTAATGATAAAAATAAGAATATTATATGTTATAGTATATTTTTAATATTTCAGCATATATTTCATCTTGGTTTACAAATTCAAATCAGTGGTAGCAAAAAAATATTTTGCATATATGTATGTATTCCAATTAATAGAAATCAATCTACTGAGATAGGAACAGGGCACATCGCAGTCGGTGTCTGCGCTTAGTGGTTCAGAAAACTTCAAACCAAATCAGCTTTGGTTGTTGTTCTGCGAGCGTATGGTGCCTGCATAGCCTACCGACGATTGAATTTTAGGGGTGGGTACAGAAACAAGAACGTTTTTTAGGACACTTGTTTTGAATGTTATGTTTAATGATAATTAATTTTATAATTTTTTTTTATATTAAAAATCATTAAAAGTTTACTTCTTGATTTAAAATAGTAATATAAATTTAAGAAAATCACTTCAAATTTTTTTTGTCTGTACTTTATAGTAGATATACAATTTGTTATTTTCCAAGATTAAAACTATAAAATTATTATATGTACAAATTAATTTATTATTTATCCCACGGGTCGTCCCTCGCAGTTGCAGCTTATCCAGGGGGGTGCGGGTGGCAAGGTTCGTCGCTGTGGTGGTTGGCCGGCTGGCCGTAGAATTCTCCAAGATGAGTTACGAAGATTATGTTGGAAGGGTGACTGCCCTTCTTTACCTGCTGGCCTAGGGACTCAGACAGTTTTTCAATAATAAGAATTTAATTTAGTCGGAGTATAATTTGTATGAGCGACAGCTCTTTATTCATATAAAGTCAAATCTAAACTGAAACTTAAAGCTAACAAAAAAGAGACTCATAGCGGCCACTCCAATGGGTAGTCTTTGCCGGCTATGCACGAGCTTCCGGCCAGACGCTGTGTCAGCAATTTGGCCGGAGCGAGCCTTCGGACGATCGGTCATTGCCGTCGCCCGGTTAACTTAGTTAACTTACATATGTATATTTATCGGTAACTAATTCAAGCGGCGACTTTCAAGAATAAGCAAACATAAAAATATATATAACTAGATCATTAAATAACAACATTAAACAAAATTACACTGCGAATCAAAAAAAAAATCAACCAAAACTCATTAAACATATCATTCAAAACAAGTGTCCTAAAAAATGTAAACAAAACAAAAGCCAAACAGCCGTTCTTGTTTCTGCACCCACCCCTAAAATTCAATCGTCGGTAGGCTATGCAGGCACCATACGCTCGCAGAACAACAACCAAAGCTGATTTGGTTTGAAGTTTTCTGAACCACTAAGCGCAGACACCGACTGCGATGTGCCCTGTTCCTATCTCAGTAGATTGATTTCTATTAATTGGAATACATACATATATGCAAAATATTTTTTTGCTACCACTGATTTGAATTTGTAAACCAAGATGAAATATATGCTGAAATATTAAAAATATACTATAACATATAATATTCTTATTTTTATCATTAACCCAATAGTGAATACGCCCATATTGTTAGGGTACCAAGTCTGAAAAGTAGCAAACGACAAAATATTCTTGCTGCATCGAAATGAAATGATCGCACACATGCACCCCTGTATGAGAATGCATGAACACGCATACATACAAAGCCCAATTCAAGCGCAGGCCAACCTTCTTCAAAATGCGCGTCTCTGCGACTGAACGACCGAACTCGAGCGCGAGCGTCAAAATAAGAATTAGAACGAGAGCGAAAAAACCCGAAGGCACACGAAGTGTCGGGGCCTGCCGATTCCAGCATTGGGGCCCCCCGATTGAAAAATTTTGTGACCAAATTCGTTGTATGAAATGACCAGTCTATATGTTGTATGGTTAGTGCTGCTACCCAACTGGCAGCTTAATCTATTCGGTTTTACAAAAATAATACAATAATTAGTCTTGGCGTTACTTAGGGCAAGAAGTAATTTAGTGATATTTTCTTTGTTTTTTGATTTAATAATGATAATCCGGTCCGGCAGGTCTTGAGGGTGGTGTCGTTTCAGTCTTCTTTTGACTCGGTTCTATGGTTCAGCGGTGTTTATTGCAGCGGTACCAAGTTTTCTGGCTAGGCTGTTGGGGTGCTCATTTAGCCTTTACATGTATTTTCGAGCAATTTCCTGCAGCTTGGCTGAGATTACGTTTGATGGCTCTGGCTTGCATAAACCACGGAGCTCCAGAGATCCTTCTAAGTGTTTTCGCTTGCAAAACCCGAATTTTGTTGAGGTTGGTTTTTGCAGCGATGTCATAAACCTGGAGTCCATAGAAAAGACTTTGCGCTAATATGGACTTATAAATTTATAAGCGCGAGCCAAGCGCGAGCTAAGCCATCCGAGCAACTTTGGTCCTGAAGGAGTGTTGGATACAAGTAATGTGCCTGCCAAAAATGAGTTTTTTGTCCAAAGTGACACCGAGGTACTTGTATGCAGGAAGGGCTCTGATTGGACTTTCGTTGAGGCTGACTCCAGGGCACCTACATCGGCAATTAATGAACGTTACATTGCCACTGTTACCGCCCCAGTACATTTTGAAACGTCGACTTATTTTCATAAATTCATCGGTTGGACCTGACACCAATCGAGACATCTTGCCGAAAATCGAGCGACCAGACAGTTGCAGTGCGATCCTCAATAGGAGAGGAAGATTTTTTAAAGCTCTTAAATGTATCTTAATTTTGTAATTTGATTTAAATATTAAAAAACATTGGATTATAAATCAGTGCTGTCAAAAGCTTTCATTAAGGGGTCGGCTGTTACATTCTTTAAAAAATCTGAATATACGAGAGTACAAAGAAAAAACAACTGCGTCTGAACAATAAAGTTCCATAGTAACAAAAAACAAAAAAAAACAAGAGAGAACGCTATAGTCGAGTGCCTCGACTATTAGATACCCGTTACTCAGCTATCCAGAAATCCTTATCGAGAATTAACGTTGACTCTGTTAAGCACCTTGGCCAGCTGTTCCAAAGTCATCCGTTAGATGGCGCCATGAAAGCCGGAAATGTAGGCGCTAGCCAGGCTTAAGCGTTTAATGGGTTTTTGGGCGTTAGAGTGGGCGTGGCAAACTTTTATTAGGCCAATCGATATTTATTGACGAAACAAATACATATCAATAAAAATTTTCATAATATCATCAAAACTGTGCCCACAGCTTGTGACTTGTGGGCGTCAGAGGGGGCGTGGCACCATTTTGAAACAAACTTGCGCTGCGTAGGAACTCCTAAAATCTACATGCAAAATGCCTATCTTCTAGCTTTTATAGTTTCCGAGATCTCAGCGTTCATACGGACAGACAGGCAGACGGACAGACGGACATGGCTAGATCGACTCGGCTAGTGATCCTGAACAAGAATATATATACTTTATAGGGTCGGAAACGCTTCCTTCTACCTGTTACATACTTTTGCACGAACACAATATACCCTTTTACTCTACGAGTAACGGGTATAAACAAACACCACAAGTTGCTGCGTCTGAATAATAAAGTTCCGTAGTAACAATATTAAACATAGTCTAGTTCCGATAGCGGGTTAACTATTAATTGGTGCTCGACTGCGTCTTTAAGAACAAGAAAGTTCCGCAGTCCCGTACATTAACCGTAATCGTGACACGAACTTAAAATTAACTGCGACATTTATAATCAGTGTATACACACCAAGCGAAGACAGAAACCGACAAATAAATTATTGCGAGGACACTCAACGTATTGGTGTCAGTGATTCGTGAAAAAAAACCAAAAAGAACAAAACTATTACTGATTCCACGGTTTGACTTTCTGCCAACTAAGGCTGTGAGTAGGGGCATAGCTAGCGAAAGCAAATAAATTCTCCCCCAACAGGCAGAGAAGCTAACAACCAAAATCAATTTCGCGAAAACGTAAAAATGCTTCCACGGGGAGATGATACTTCGGTATGCGGCGCTTGCAAAAAAGATCGGCCCGGGAAAGACATAATATGGGTTCAATGTGATAATTGCAAAACCTGGTACCATTTCTCTTGTGTGCGTGATGAAAGCGCAAATAACCTTAAAGGCTGGGCCTGCCCTCCTTGTGAGAAGGATGCTACCGACATCGTGAAGACCAATA